CTAAAATACATCCCATTTTTATAGGCTTATTGTTATGTGAATGACTTCTAAAATCCTGCATATATAACACCCTAAGCTGACCTTACTCTGGACTATTGATATCTGAGTGGAGGGGATCTCAAAGTGATCCATGGAAAAGGCAGGATCAGGATGGGTCAGGATGTGAGATTGGTGTATGCTGAGTATGTAGTAGTGAGTATTCATGAAAAAGTATTTGTGGAGTAGATAGGGGAAGAGAAAAAAAGTGCTGTGAAGGAAAGAGGGAAAAAATGACAAGCTCAAGGGTTCAGATCTAAAAAGTCTAGTGTTGGCTCAATAGTAGCATGAGGTTAAGGGGTAATTTCTTTGGAGGCAGAAATAAGGTAGAAGCAAAAGAAGAAGGTAACTCTGTCACAGTCTCCAAAAGAAAGAGTCAGATGAATGGATTATGTGTTTACTTCTTCCCACCTTGGAGTGGAATTGATAATTCACAGAGTATGTTTAAGGAGGTAGTATAAAACCATTTCCAAGTAGCTTTAATTTGTGTGGCCACAATCAACATTTGACAATTCCAGTCACATAAAATCTTTGTACTTTTTCATCATTTTTATTTATTTATTTATTTATTTATTTTTAACTTTATTTCAACATAACTATGCTTACAGAAACACACTCACATTGGTTAATAGAATGCAATTTAAGTTTTAACTTATCCTACACAATTTCAACCAAAAACTTGGTACATGGTTTAAGATTTTAAAAAGAATTTGCAATCTGGTTTATTTTTATCTATTACAAATGTATATAAAAGATCCACCATCAAATGCTGCTAAAGAAAGCAGCAAGAACCTTGAGAAATATACCTTTGGTTTGCCTCAGAAAAATAACACGTATTGCACTGTAAAAGTTTATAAAATTGGTGCAACAAAACATTGTTGTTATGTTACAATGCCAGTTCAGAAAGTTCAGTAACTAATGGATGCAGAAGGGGATGGGAGGGTGCCTATGTACACATGTGGTACTGTAAAAGCTATCTGATTTAATTAATATAGTATGTAGATTATAAATCTACACAAACCAAGATTCAGATAATTTCTTAAATCTGAATTAACACTATCAGCTCACTTCATCTGCTGAGGTCAACAATTGAACTTGACACACTGGCTTTAAGTTTTTTTGATATATGCAAAGTAAATTTCCTCCCCCAGCTTTTCAGTCCAGAAGTGACAGTATACTACAGGCAAGGTATTCCTTCCATCTTCAACATTCATGGGGTAACATGTGATGAGGTTAACTGGGGTTTTAATTTGCATCAGCATGCAATGCAAAAGGCCCCCAGAGTCGATGACCACATGCCGTTATAAGTGACTACTCTAAAAAATAAAATGGCCCTTCTTGGAAGACTAGAGCAAAACATCCAGCTACAGTTATAAGAAGCCTTATCAAAACAATTTTAGCTCCTTATGAATGACACCTCAATAAAAATAAAAGTAGCCCCCGAATAAGAAGCAGCTCTGATAAAGAGGAAAATATAACTTAAATATATTGGAAACCAATGGGAATACAGGTTCAAAAATAATTAGATTTTCATGACTACCTAGGATTAGGCTTATAATGCCTTCCAGTACTCCAAGTTTACCACTAGTTACTAAATACCAATTTACAAATAACATGTTTATTGTTCCTTTATCAAAAGAGAAAGTTCTAGCTTCAATTCTATTGTGGGGAGGGCACTAGAAAATACAAAGATTCAAACAGTTCCATGCAAATATCACATTTTTCAAATGGAAGAACTCCCAACTGGACCAGAAGTTCCAATTACTAATATATTTTTCATTGAAACAATTTTTAAAAAGTACAAATACATGGCATTAAGGTTCAGGACCTAATATAGGCCTGATAATAAAGTCCTTGTTTTCTGGAAGAAAGGCCTCAAGTCCCAATCAATTTCCAGTAACAATGTTTTACACATCAACTTAATAAGGGGTTTTAATTTCCTTCATATTTTTGTCTTCAGCATTCTAGTCTTAAAGGCTAGATTAGAAATTAGTTCAATTCCCCAGAAGGCAAATTTCTTTCCTTTACAGTATGAAAGAATCCAGAAAGACCTCTTCCCCAAGCAGATTCCCAATCTCTAATCTGTGCTTAAAATGAATCTTTTTCAATATAATGTAAAACGTAACTTAGGTAAAATGTGCTCATTAACATTAAAAACTAGTTGTTAGGAAGACTTAACTAGCTGTATAATTTAAGGTTTAAAACATAAATATTTGCAGCTTGATCTCCTGCTGACAATGATTGTCGGAGCCTATAATTCAACATTTATAAATTCCCATTCATACACGCCAAACACACCATTATCACACAACTTACTCATGTCTTGAGAGAATCTTCTTAAAATTCTTTGGCCTCCCAGTCAATTCCAAGTTTGAGCAACTTTTAACTCAAACTTCACTCTCAGATTAACAAGTTTTCCACCCATACATTAATGCTTGTCCTAATCTTTCATGTTGTACTGCCAAAATCTGAAACCTACCTCAAAGAGATAACCAGGTAAAAGAAAATTATCAAAATATTCATGAAGGGGGTTATTTCAAAAATAGAACATGGGAGGCTAGAATTCAAGATTCCCTATTGGGATCACACTTTATTTTACTGAAATGAGCTCCTAACGTTAATACAAATCCTATGTTGGATTCTTTCATACTCTCTGGCAAATGGCCAAAGAACCTACAGAACAGTTTTGGAGTACACACCCTTTTTCATACAAAGTGCCCCTATAGGCACATCAGGATAGCTGCAATTCACTTGAGGCCTCACCTGTAGAAGAGGCTGTCATAGGGACAGCCAGGACACCCACTAGTTTGTGGAGATCCCTGAGAAAGTATGATTTTTAAAATCTGGACTGTACTGAAGTTCACCAGCTTTCTTCACTGTATTCACAGGAAGCTGCAGCTGACTTGCCAGAACTCATGCCATCTCTCATTCTAGATTTGCTGTATAATAGCTATGGCTTTGGAATCTCACAAGTGATGTCCCATACAACTTGAAGGAATGATTGTGTCTCCTAATTCTAGGTTTGCAATTTCCAAATCTCAGTTACAATTCTTTATTCAGCTAAGTAGCCACATGGACACCAACCATTTAAGAGAAAAGGTTCTCCCCAAAGATAACATTACAGTTAAGAAGTAACTGTACCATAACAGGCAAAAAAAAATAAAAAATAATGTAACTGATGGTTGGTATTTGAGATTAAAATGTGTTTTAAAAATAAAAACCTCTTGGTTTATTTATTGCAAAATCAAGAAAGAGAGCTGTGAATTTACTATATTCATTCAAAATAAATAACTTAATGTGAAATACAGATTCTGGCATAGGTATAAGATATGAAAATCATAATGAATGGATTGAACCTGCATGTTTCATTTGCTCACAAACTTGCACACACTATTATTCTGCAAAAAAGACAATTGCAGCAAAGAAAATAAAAACTGCCCTTTTGCAAACAAGCCTAAAAATATTCCTCTGACGAGGCCAAAATAAACATGCATATATATGTATAAAGTGTTACTGCTCAACACAAATGCTATTTCTAGAAAAATATAACTGCATAGGTTAAAAAAAAAACAACAAAAAACAAAAACAATGTGCAACATCTTAAGCCATTAAAGCACCAAAATAAAAAAAAATTAAAAATCACTGTTTTTATGACAATCAACACAAAATATTGATCAAAACTCAGCAAGTAAATACCTGGACTGATACAATGTCCACTGTTGGGCTAATTTTTCTTCAATTTAAATGTCTTTTTTTCATCTCTAAAGAAATCTTAAAGTGCTAACTTTATATAAAGCAGGCAAATTGTTCAAGTAATTTGCTATTAAGCCAATTTTTATAGAGCTAAATAAAAAAGGAAAAGTAAACTAAAGTGATAGAAGACAGACACGGAGGAAAACAATGTCAAGTTGTAAATGGACAAAGCAATAGAATGCTATTATATCATCATGGCCTTCTCATTTCAATTGAACATATAAGCTAAATAGATTTAAGTATCTGCTGTTTTTTTTTAGTACACTAAACTCCCTTGGATTTGCTAAAATTTATACAACAATCAACAGGTATATATGAAGTCCTAAGGAAAAGGATGCCTCTTAAAAATCAATACTGAACACTAATTAAAGCAATCTTAAAAGGTTTTTCTACTATTATAAATGAATATAAAAATTAATAGCTCTTACAAACCAAGAACTGGAACCTTGTCCCAATCTTTAATTACTCCTGCCCTTTAGCTGCTTTTTCAAGGAAATACACATTAACCAAATGGCGATTGAGGTGTTTGCTGTAATCTTTTTCTTTCCTAAAAGAACGATCACAGAAGATGCAAACAAAATCTCCCTCAGTCCTTTTGCCTGCCAAGGCTTCTTTTGCATCTTTTGTACTAGCTTCTTGTGGAACTGGACGAGCCCCATGCAATCCAGAATCATCACTACCCTCTGACATGTTGTCACTTAGGTCACTTCCGTCATGACTGTGGATACCTTCATCTTCGTCAATTTCCTGAGACTCATTTACTGCCACAGTAACAGGAGGTGAAGCCAGCACAGTTTGGGACACTGCTTCGTGTTTGCCTATTGGTGGGGGAAGAAGCAATGGTGAAACTGGTTCTCCAACTGCTGAGACTTTATCAGGGAGATTCTCTGCTGGGTTATGATCAGTATCCATTTCCACTTCACAAAGCATAGCTGAGTCAGTCTGATGCTTATCAGCTAAAGTTTCACCACCTGGCATATTCAACTTTTGTCCAGAAGATGAAACACTAGTACTAGATTCCTTGGTACAGGAATCGGCTACACTCTTCTCTGCTTCTTCTGTTCCTACTTTCAGAAAAGGGTCTTCTTTGTTTCTTTCACCTTCTGAGAGTAATTTTTGGTCTTCTGACTCCTCCTCTCTTAAGTCTTCCTTTGGCAGTGGTGTTGATGATGCCAAAAGTTCCTGTGTGCTTTTATTTTCCTTTAGAATCTGGCTATCTTTAACAGGCACTAAGCCTACTTCAATAAGGACTTGCTCCTTACGTGTCATTTCACTCTGCATATTGGACCTTTCCTTTCTGTTATCTTTTCGGGGAGAAGTCTTTTGGGGAATTGGCTCATTGTGAACAGGAGGATCTATGGGAGGAGACAGCTCCATCTGAGCAGGCTCCTTCTGAACAACTTCCATCTGAACAGACTCCATGTTAACAGGCCCCATCTGAACAGGTTTCATGGGTAGAGGCAACTCTATCTGCAGAGGCCCCTTCTGAACATCCTCTGTAAGAGGAGATTCCATAGAAGAGGGCAGCTCCATCTCAGCAGGCTCCTTCTGAACCTCTTCCATATGAGAAGACTCCACAGGAGGGGGCAGCTCCACGTGAGAAGGCCCCTTGTGAACAACCTCCTCCATGTGGACAGTCTCCATAGGAGGGATCAGCTCCATGTGAGCAGACTTCTGGTGAACCACTTCCACCTGAGCAGGCTCTACTTGAACAAGCCCCTTCTGAACCACCTCCATGTGAGCAGGCTCTACTTGAACAGGCCCCTTCTGAACCACCTCCATGTGAGCAGACTCTACTTGAACAGGTTCCATGGGTAGAGGCAACTCTATCTGCAGGGGCCCCTTCTGAACATCTTGAACAGGCCCCTTCTGACTAGTCTCCTTTTGAACAGGTTCCTTCTGAGAGGTGTCTTTCTGAGAAGGCTTGCTGCTTTTTTTACTTTGTTTATTTTTTAGGGTTTTCTTCTTTGTATTTTTTTTCACGCAGGTATTTTGTTTTTTATTCTCCTCCACTTTGTTATCACCCTTTGGTACTTCCTGACTATTTTTGGATTTACCTTCTATCTTCCTTTTCTTTTTTGTCACAGATTCCTCATCATTCACAGGATCATGCATGGAATGGGCTTCAATTTCCATCTTCCTTTTGCTTTTCTTGGCTTTACAGGATTTTTCTGAATTATTTCTTGTGTGCACATCCATGTCTTTAGCTTCTGTTGCTGACTTGCGAGTTCTGGTAGTGACCTGAATCATTGAAACATTGCTACAAGGTTTTTTCTCTTTTGAAACATTATCTTTTTTCTCCACTTTCACAGACCTCTCATTTTTCTTTCCAGCTACATCCCCTTTTATTTTCGTTTGCTCTGTTTCTGTTTTTTCATTGGTAGTACTGTTATCAAGTAAGTCAGCCTCTCGCTTTTTGGTTTTCTTTAATTTCACTTTTGACACATCCATTGTTTTATTAGGACAAGTAGGATGCTTAGATTTGAAATGATACTGTAGATTACACTTTTTGGAAGCTGCATAGTCGCATACAGGGCAATTAAACTGCCGTGGGCTCACATGTAGCTCTACATGTTTTTTGAAGTTGCTTCTATCTGCTGTTTTGTAGTCACAGTGGGGGCAATTAAGAGGTTTAGGCCCATTGTGAACCTGTCTTGCATGGCGAGTTACTTCATGTTGATTAGAGGCCACATAACTGCACTGATCACATTTAAATGGCTTCTCACCTGAATGAGTACGCATATGTCTAGTTAGATGAGTCTTCTGAGAACTTGAATAAGGACAAAGTTCACATTTATATGGGCGTTCTCCTGTATGAGTTTGAACGTGCTGAACGTAATTGTTTTTTCTGTCTGAAAAATAGTTGCATTTACCACATGTGTATACTTTCCTTGGAAAATGGTTTCTTAAGTGTTTCCTCCAGTGATACTCGCTTACTGTTGTGTAAGTGCAAATGATGCACTTGTAGACTCACTCGTTATCTCCAGCTCTTGTGTGGTGTTTCAGGTGTGCAGTATAGTGATCATATCTATTGGTATTGTAGCCACAGCGGTCACAGCGAATGGGGCCCTTAGAGAAATCTCCCTCTTCAGCAGTGGAAGAGCCAGATTCTCTGGCTTTTGCTTGCTTCTCTGCACTTTCTTCCACAAAAAACTTCTTGGCACTATGAACTCTGATATGATGCACAAATTGTTCTTCAGATTCTGCTTCATATTGGCATGGCTTACAGCAAAAGGGTTTGGTCTTCAAGTTCTTGCATTTGTCCTCTGCTCCAGGTGTTTCATTAGGAAGATCTTTATTTGAGCTGTAAATTTCTGGAGCAGCTGATGCCTCAAATACAGGCTGTGGTTCTACAACACTGGCTTCCAAACTTCTCAGTTCCATGTTTTCGAGTCCATTAGGTTCACCTTTTATTTCAGGAGATTCCTCAAGTCCTTCTCCATCACTATCTGAAAAGTTGTTATCCCCAACAGGCATCAATTCTGCCATCTGTCTTTCTTCACCAACCAGGTAATCACAGCAGCTGCCATTCACTTCCCCAGTTAAGGCCACGTTTGCTAGCATGATAAGCTGAGAAGCAGCCAGTTCAGCTTTGGAGAGGTCATGCAAGTCATACATGTCGTTGGGCAAGGCCATGCCAATGTTGCCACTGCCAGTGAATAGCCCTCCTCCTCCAGAAGACTGCCCCATCACCTGGGTAGCCATAACTGTATTCGGTCTTCCTCGGAGAGGGGGAACTGGCGACCCGGCGTGGCCACCCCTCCGCCAACTACTTTTCTTTGTTGTTGGAGTTTTAGGGGAGGGGTGGAAAAAGTTGGGCGCTTGGGCTGTCGAGGCCCTTAAAGGCCAGGAGCGGGGCTGCAGAAAGTGCTCAGGCCGCCAGCCCTCGCCCAGCCGTCCGGGCTGCCGCCGGGGTGTGGGGCCAGGGGCCTCGGTGGCGCTTGGCCTGCTGCTGCGTCGGGAGCTCGCGGGAGCCGCACATTCCAGCACAGGACGCTGTGCCGCGCACCAGCCCGCGCCGCCCATATTTATTTATTTATTTATTTATTTATTTATTTATTCATTCCATTTTTTTCATTCACTTTTGCTTTACTGTGATTTTGTATATACTCCTGGTGAGTATTCAATGATACACACACACACACACACACACAATGGTATATATATATATCTTCTATAACATTATATTCTAAAACATTAAAGTCAGCCAGCCTCAGCAACTTAGTAAAGCTGTAAGAAAATCAACAAAACCATTTTCTTTATAGAATATTTTATTAAAGACTGAGAGTGTTTCTTAGTAAAAAGCATATCTGATTTCAATTTGTAATATGAGAGAGAGAGAGATCTTGCAAAAATAAAAAAATAATCAGTGACACTCTTAGTGTCAAGGATGTAAATAATTTAAAAGTAATAGTGAGCTAGTTGGAAAACACATCTAGGTTATTAACTGCTGCTTTGGAAAGTTAGTCTGCTCTCCAACGTATAAAATGAGAGAGGAATTCTTTATTAAGGTGTGTATAAGAAAAAAGTGGAGTTTTGTCACAGCTTTTAGTTGACAGAGAATGGGTCAACTTTATTGGGTGATTAGGGTTCTACCAAGATGATAAATCCTTGAGTTATTTGAAATAATGTGATTTTATCTAGTCTTCATAAACAAAGGTTGAGGTCTAAGATAAATCAGGCTTGGCTAAGGAAAAACATTTCAATGAAAAGTAAATGTATGAATAAACACATAAAACAATATTTAACAAAAAGTTAACATTCAGAATATTTATGCAATTATGTAATCACAAGTAATGTAAGAACAATGACAACTAAAGAAAAATGAATTTATAAAAAAACAAATAAATAATGTAATGGATTAATTATTAATGAATAACTAACAAGTACAAAGATGTAATGTGACTGGAATTGTCAAAATCAGCTCCTAGCCATGAAAAACTGTAAAGGTACATAGAAATGGTGTTTTACTACTTACTGAGACATACCCTATGAACTATAAATTCCACTCCTAGGTGGGAAGAGTTGAACACAGAACCCATTCATCTAGCTCTCCCACTTGGGAACTGTGCAAAAATTACCTTATTCTTTCCCCTCAAATTTTATTGCTGCTTCCAAGAACACTACCCTCTATATTCATGCTATCATTGTAGACTTGTAGCATCTGAACCCCTCTACTGTTCAAGTTTTTCTTCTTTTTTTTTTTCATTGCTCTTTTTCTCCATACCCCCTATATTGTCCACCAATACTTATTTTGTATAGCAAAATCTACATACTCAGCAATCACCAGTCTTATGTCTTACTATATCCGTCTCTTACCTTGTGCATGACCACTTTGAGATCCCCTCCATCCAAACGTCAATAGTCCAAAGTGATCAGAATTGGGGGTAAAATTTGCAGAATATTAAAGGTCAGTTACACAACAAGAAAGCTATAAAAAGTCGGCTTCATTTAAAGATGAAAATAAAAAGATAATCTTTAGACTTCACTAGTTAAAATAAAGGATCCAAAATTTATGAGTCTCAATAATCTGAATTATACCTGTGAGTCACTTTTTTATGGGGAAGGGATATAAGGACATTGCTAATGAGTTTAAAGTTCAAACTATTTTTTTATGGGACACAGAACAGAAAAGTTAAAAAAATATTAAAGTAATTGTGATATCATTTTAATAAATAAAAATATATACATATTTATTCACAAATTGCTTTAACCTTATAAACAGTTATACATGTCAATGCACTCTGGGCTAGGTCCTATTATTGGAAAAAAACTTTGCCTTAAAATAACCCCATACAGAGGCATTTAATGCAATTAACAGGCCATCAATAATAATAATAATAATAATAATAATAATAATAATAATAATAATAATAAATGAGGTGTGGAGGATTTCAGGGTTGTAAAGTATACCTGTAATATAAGTTACTTGAAAAGCCATCACAGGAGAATTGTATACACTGTCTGAAGACATATATGTAAATATTATTTGTAAAAAGTGTTTATGGGTTCTGTAGTCAGGGTGCATAAGTCCAATACACAGTCTTTTTTTTTTTCTTGAATATTTTTTGTTGTAGATGGACACAATACCATTAGTAGTTTGTTTGTTGGTTGGCTTTTTAATGTGGTGCTGGGTGTTCAACCCAGTATCTCACGTATGCTAGGGAAGCACTCTACCACTGAACCATAACCCTAGTCCCCAAAGTTCTTTACTTAATTTATTTTTTTGGAGGGAGTGTGTGCCTGTAGTGCAGGGGGTTGAATCCATGGCCTTATGGATTCAAAAGTGCAAAACAAGCACTCTACTGACTAAGCTATATCCTCAGCCCTGATCTGTAGTCTTTTTTTTTTAAATCAAGAGAGAGAGAGAGAGAGAGAGAGAGAGAGAATTTCGGCAGACTCAACACCTTTGTTTGTATGTGGTGCTGAGGATCCAAGCTGGGGTGCATGCATGCCAGGCGAGCCGCCCTATCCCTTGAGCCACATCCCCAGCCCCTGATCTGTAGTCTTTTTAAAGTGACAATGGAGCAGCCTGTCATTCAGCCTTTGATTCTGCTCCAAATTGGCTCAGGTTGGAGGCAGTGCCTGAAGCCTTGACCAATCAGTCTCTTAGGTGAGAACTGCCCAATCCTCAGGCAGCCGGTGATGAGGGGGTGGGCTTCCACAATCTTCTGTTCCCTTTGTACCTGGAGCCCGCCATTTTTTCAATCTTTTTGTAGGCTTTCTGTGCTGGATCTGGAGGCCAGGTGTCTGTGCTATGCAGAATCTGAAAACAAATCACAGGGAGAACTCCGAGAACCCTGAGAGCCAGAAAATGGTAAGTGTGCCTTGTTATCTTGAGACTGGGTAGGAAGGTGGCTTAAAGCTGACAGAAGTGGCAATGGTGGAAACTGGCAGTCATAGCTACAGAATCCTCATGGTCCTCTCCAGAGTCTTGTTGTCAGAGTGTCTCTCTGTGGTAGCTTAGCCTTCACCTGCCTCTGACTGTTCTACTGAGGCTTAGATCAGCAGTTGAAAACCTGAGCATTTTGTTCCATATTTTTATGGTGTTTTCAGCTTCTTTCTAAAGCCCTTTGTGGGCATCCATGTGCCGTGAGTCCAGTATGTCTCCAGATTGCATAGTGAAGACTGAGATAAATATCAGGAGAGAACCCCAAATCCATTTATTGTATTCATGCATGAAAGAGGCTGCTGATTTTAGGGCTTATTACTCATGAGGGTTTTGTTTGTTTGTTTATTTATTTATTTATGTTGTGCGTGTGTGTGTGTGTGTGTGTGTGTGTGTGTTTTGTTTTCTTTTTGGTACCAGAAATTCAACCCAGAGGTGTTCATCCACTGATTCACATTCCCATCCCCTTTTTTAAAAATATTTTTATTTAGAGACAGGGTCCCTTTGAATTTCTTAGGGCCTCACAAATTTTATGATGCTGGCTTTTAACTCATTCTCTTCATGAGTCCTGAGATATTTAAATGTAGCAAAAGCAGTATCTCAAATCCAGAACAAAAATATGAAATCCAGAACTTCAGTTTAGCTCTCCATAGTCTCAGAATAAACCCCTAGTTTTCTAGCTCTCTGTTTACATATCCAAAACTAGGATTCTTTGTTCACAGAGAATAAGTATAATAATGACCATGTAATGTGGATAATGGGCCTCACTCAAACACACCTGGTGGCTAACTGTTAATGAGCACCATTAAGGCCTAATTCAAATGTAAAAGACCATGAAGTCCACTGTGGGAAAACCTTCTACAAATTCCTTTGTCCCAGGGGTCATTCCTGATTGAATTTGAAGAAAAAAGGATGGGTCACAGAATGAATGAAAGTGAACCCTTATGGTGGTCAGGATGCCTTTTCAAAAGCCTATTCTAAATGCATTAGCTCTGTTTTCTGCCCAAAACCATCAGTAAACTTCTAAGATGGCACAAAAAATGATTTTTTTTTTCTGGTATCATTCCTCATATCACATGGTGGGAGTTCAATTTCTTCTTGCTTAAATAGATTTGTTTCTTCAAAATTTATGAGAGAAGCACCCAGATTCAATTGGCAAACTGAGAAATTTTGGTTCATCTCAAAACTCCACTTTCAGCATTATTAATCATTATTTTCCCATGTTTTATTTCAAGTGTATGCATCATTTATAATGTTTTTCTTCAAGAACTGGAGGGAATTTTTAAAAGATTTTAATTTATCATTCTGCTTAGAAGGCAAGCACTCTACAAGCTGAGCTATTTACTCAGCCCCATTTTTTTGGGGGGCAGTCCAGGGATTGAAGTCAGGGGCACTCTACCACTGAGCCACATCCCTACCCTGATTTTGTATTTTACTTAGAGACAGGGTTTCACTGAGTTGCTTAGTGTCTCACCATTGATGAGACGGGTTTTAAATTCATGATCCTTATGTCTCAGTCTTGTAAACAGCTGATATTAAAGGCATGTGCCACCATGCCTGGCCAACTTCAATCTTAAGGGCTAAAGTACATAGCAAATTAGATCAAAGTCCATGTCAATATCTTGGTACTATATAAAAGTTGATGATAGACCTTATATATTATTTACTTAAATGTGGAGCTGAGAATTGATTCCAGTGCCTCACATGCGCCAGACAAGTGAGCTCCACTGAGCCCCAACCCCAGGCCCCTGGTACATTTTTTATGGGGGATATTGGAGATTGAACTCAGGAACACTTGACTACTAAGACAAATCCCCAG